TATATATATATATATATATATATATATATATATATAAATTACTTTACATTTATATACGTTTTAAATTAATGTTGGAACTCCCCATTTACGAGGGAGGAGCTGACTGATATACAGCGTTGCCATGGACAACGGCGAATATTAGGAAATATCACACCGCTGGAAGGCACGATTGACCAATCAGAAGTATCAAGTATCAAAAAGCTGTGTAATATTTAATTACAGTGCAGTATGTAAGCATCAGTATTTTTTAAAAAAAACTATAAAACTTGTAAACAATAAAACAATTTATTCATATAAACTGCACTTATTTCATTTTGCATTATATTTGAATAAGCTGTGATTTTTATCACATTCATGCATTATGTAAATGCTCGAGATAAGTGGACAGGTGGAAGACCGGAAGGACCAACAGGTAGGTTGATGGATAGAGACAGACAAACTCAGATACAATCAGGAAGAGACTGACCTTGGTGACCTTTGCAGAGGCAGGAGCCCATGTTCAACAGCTTAGCAGTTCTCTGTTCACCATGCCGACTGAGAGTGGGGCGACGGGGAAAAATTAGCAACAGAGAGAGAGAGATGAGAGCGTGTTTGGTAGAAGGGGATCTGGAACAAGCAGAGAGAGCCAGCTGGATGATAGAGGTGGAGAAAAGAGAGAAGGAAAAAGATTGATCCAGGATGAGGGGAAAAGGGACCTGGTGTCCAACCGGTACAGTGAAGCACTGTTTCTCAAGTGGGGATGGAAGTGAGGAGAGAGAAAGAGAGAGAAGTGGGGAAAACGGCAAACAGACTGTGTGCACTCAGTCCCTCCCCTCCTCTCCTCTCTTCTCCTCCCCCTTCTGCTCTCATTTTCTCTCTCAGACCCAACTTTCACACCATCTACATACTGAAATTACTACCTTTTATTGAGGTTACATTAGGGATGCACTGATATCAAAATTCTGGGCGATAGCATTAAGCTGAAAATTATTTTTGTGTTATGACTAATAACCGATAACTGGCTGATATTGAAATAAAATGATTTTGATAATAAAACAATATTTATAAAATTATATTGAAACTAAAACCTAAACCTTGAAAAAAAACTTTAAATGCTACAAGCAAATTTAGGCATCAAAATATT